CCGGGGTACTGTAACCGCTCGCTGCCCGAGGTGGCCGGGGATGAGCTATGTTTTAATTACCGTTGTGATTTTGACGGGGAATTTTGGTGCTCCACGGGGGGGAGGAAGGGAAGTTGTGCAGCGCCTCACCCTTTGGGAACAGAAATGTGCGTCCCCTGAAAAGGCGGCTGGCAAGGAAAAGCCAAGTAAGTCCACGAGTTGATACACAGTTAATCATTTATTTTCCTCTGAGCCCGTAGATGTGAAATCCCACCACAGCGGCCCTCGGGGCGGGTCAGATCCCCTCCCGCCCCAAATGCAGGGCCCAGGCTCTGCTCACTCCAGTCAGCTGCCATGTTTCTGTCAGCTCAAAACCAGCAGGTTCAACCCAACACTGCGTGCTGGGGCCAGGTCCCTGTCACACCGACACCCCGTATCTGCTGAAAGGAGCGCAACACGCAGGTCTTGCTCCCACATCCTAATGAGCAGCTCCCAGGGCGGTAACAGCAGCAGGGTCAGGGTACCCGAGGTGGCTGGCACAAAAGTGTTCGTATTTCCTCATAAAGATCCTGGTTTCTTCATGGATTTGCTGTGTTGTCTCGGACTTTCACCTTTTTGTCTGTTTCATTGCAGGCAGCAGCAGCTGAAATCCTCTGGGTCTTCGGTGTGCCAACACAGCAGCAACAGGAGGACTCTACACTAAACAGGAGGATTTTGTTCATCCCTAAAGCTTTTAGTAGGGTGTGGTATAATTCCTCCATTTTCCCTCATAGCCCGCAGGAAGGTACAGGTCTGGGTCTGCCTCATTTTTCCGCTGTGAGATGCCAGTTGCCTAAGGATGGGGAGTAGGACAACGATCCCATGACCTGTTCAGCTGTGCTTGGAGTGCAGGATTATGTGCATTTCAGGAGGATATTTTTCATGAAGAAGGGGATTGTAAATACAATTGCAATGCCTTTTGCATTACTTGTTTTTCTTCCTTCAGTATTTGAAGCTAAGGGTTTTTTAAAATATCTTCAAGTATTTTTTAATAAATATTTTACTGTAATTATTTTCTGATTGATATAAAGCATGATGTAAAGGCATGATTTCTCATTCCATAATTGTCAGGGTTCTGAAATAGAAATGAAATATATCCTGACACTATCAGAAACAGCTGATGTTTTTAGGAGTATTTCAATTAAATACTAACAGAAGTGTCTCAATTGTATTTTCACTCTAAAACCAAATAAGATAATTCTAAAATTATAATTTTTTTCTCATTTCTCCCATCCTCTGTATATACAAGATTCTTGCAAGCAAATTAGGCAGGCCTTAAGTATCCAATTAGAAGCTGAAAAAAGCTATTTGCAGATATTTAGTCTAAATTATCCCTGTCCCCTGTTGGACAGCCCATCTTGTAGTTTCATAATAAACCCATCTTACCTTCCATGGGTTTTATTAACAAGGATGAGCAAGCAAACATATATACACATTTGGATGAGGTAGTTTACAAAACTTTTGATCAGCCATAGCTAGAACAGCAAAGCCAAGCTCACAATTAAGACAGAAGCAACCTATCCATTTACAAAATCACAAAACCAATAGAGCAGGTTATAAGACCATATTTCTAAGGAACTGCTTTGCATTCATTTTTCTTGCATTCATAAAATTTAAGGAGATAATACTTTGCTTTTTATTTGACCATGCTATCAATAAATGCCTATTCTGGCTTTAGGCCTTACTTATAGGAAGTCACAAAAAGAGGGCAGTGAAACTGCAGTGGAGTACAGGCATGGCAAGTTAACCATGAAAGCCCATGAAATGAGCGCTCTCTGTATATTTTGGCATAATAAAAGCCTCAGATTTTTATTACCCCTTTTTTATTCTTGTCATGCAAGCATACTTCTTACAGGCATTACTTGCACGTCTTCAGCATTTATTAGGTATTCTGAACTCCAGCAAGAACTTGAAAACAAATACCGCTTTGCAGTCTACTCTCAAGATACATCACTAAGGAGTTGTAGCCTTCTCGATAGCACTGTTTGGTGGGCTTTCTGTCACATAAAGACGGGGAAGCTGAGATGTTGCATAGCCTTTCCACTACCCATTCTGTCTGCAGTTCTGCAAGAATACATACTGCCTTTACCTTTCTTACCAGAATAAATTCCACTAATGATAAATAATTTAAAATGTTCCCACCTCCAAACTCATACTCTGACCCAAGGTTCTCACAGGGGAATGACATCTCTTTTCCTAATACCTGTTACACCCTTTCTAGCCAAACTGGTTCATCTGAGAGTAACACAGCAGATTTTCTCCTTTTGGTCTGGTAGGTCAGATAATGAAGAGTTAGGAGCAGAACCTGAGTTTAAATCTATATGTGTTGACATACTGAGAAGGTTCTGTACTTCAAGGACTTCTTAAAAGTCCTTTTACAGTCATTTACTCATTTATTGCCACCCCAATATTATCTTTGTTTACATTTCCCAGTAGTGACCAATACTTTATTGCCTGCTCTTTCACGATGAAGGCCATGGAGGATCAAGTAGTCCAAGAAGAACCAGGATACCAGGATGATGAGGTAAATTTATGGTTCATTGAAAAACATGTGCAGCAAATGTTGTTTCAAGGTATTTTGATAGTGTTATGAAATCTACAGAGAGACAGGAGGTCCCCAAAGTCCATTAGGGATTTCGATGCATTTAAAATTTTGTTCCAGTCTAATACCAAGAAAATCTCACTCTCCTAGTCCCTGTGCAGCCTTGCCCTTCAAGTGCTCCGTCATTACCCTTTCAAAAGCTATGCACAGTTTTTAATTATAATTTCTTTTTATTTTACACTTCTATATTAAATGCAAGGGGACTATCAGTTAATTTTATGCTTCCAAGGAATGGTCATCAGCCTGAAAAGGCTGCGGAACTGTGGCGGAAAAAATAAAGATGATCATAACATGAGTTTTAATAGCACAGCAGAGGATTGCTTGCCTGTGAAGATACTTTATGAAGAAGGCGATAGCGGATGTGTAGGCCTTCTTGGCTCACTATGGCTTTGCTTATTTGGGTAGTCCAACAAGTTATGTATTATTAGAGAAAATCATTCAAATGTTTACAGATTTGAAATAGACCCATAGTGAGATAGATAAAATTACAAGAAAAAGCAAAATCTGTTTTTATTTTTTTCTGCTATTTTTTTTAGGAATCCTTTTTTCAGGATATTGACCTGCTACAGAAGCATGGAATTGTAAGTATTAGCAGTGCCTTTACCACACAGAATTGCCCATGTAAAGCTATTGTAAGGCTATTTCTCCAAAAGCATATACACGTTGATACAAATAACTCAAATCCCTCCCTGTGATAAATTTTAAATCAGTCATGTGAAGACAAATTTTGCCTTTGGTGATAAGACAGGTTTTCAGAAAATCTCATTCCCATCCGATTCCTAAATAAAGTGACAAGATACTCAAAGTATTTAGCACCCAGCACTCTTGAAAAAAACCAACTACTTGCTAATTTATTTGAAAACTGTGTGATAGATTACTTCCTGTTCCTGCCAATCTTTGTAATTGCTCCTGCAGTTTTGGTGCCTGTGAAATTACACTGTGACAATTGTTGCTATACTATTTTCAGCATGCTGGTGAAGGGGGTAGAGTGGGAGTGAAGAAAGTACTAGTAGCTAGAGAAGTGGTTAGTTTTCTCCATCAAATATGAATTCCTATAATCATTATCATCGTTATTATCACATAAACATCACCCATTTATTTGAATTACTATTATTATATGTTTATCCAGGAGACTGGCTCACGGATAGGAACGCTATTACATTCAGTGTTTTAGAAGCAGAATAAAAAGTTGGGTTTGCCTGAAGTAATGTAAGATTTAACTCTGATATAAATGACTACAGACAGATACAGATGGGGATGGCACAGACACAATGAGACAGCTTTAGTCAGCGCTGTAGTTACTGGGCTCAGCATGTCAGCAGCATAATTGTTGTCAACTTTTTTTATTGGCAATTCATTGACAGCTTTAAAGAGAGTTCTGAAGAAGGATCATGAGGTTGCAAGCTCTAACTATGGGGCAACATAGGCAAAATACACAAATTCTTGCATTAAAAATTTAACAAGTTGACCAAGAAGGCCGATCTCATGAGCTGGAAGGGAGCTGTACTAGCCTGCCAACATCAAATGAGGCATGGTACGCAGAGAACAATACTATGGTATGAAAGATCTTGAAAATAAAGAATAACGACTTAGGCTGTTCTTTTGGCTCAATAAGGGTTTCCTGCTCCTTTTTTTTTTTTTTCCCCCTTCCCTCCAAGTGGTTATTCCCACATCCCAGGGGAAGTTTTTGTTCTCAGCTGTGCCAGTTAAAATCTTTGTGTGAACATATGACGACCCATATCTGTTAAATACATTTGCTTAAAGAAATCATTTTTGTGGGTTTAGAGTTTTTTTCCTAGGAGTAGAGAGAGAAATATTTACTAGATCTGACAGTGTTGCCACAAAGAGAGTCAGATTAGCACAACCCAGGCTGCAGTTTGATGTTCAAAAGTGTTTGGCAGGAATTAAGGTGCAGTGACCCCACAGCCTCTGCTGAGCGTTCCTGCCGCTGGAGCATGCTATCCCTTCTAGCACGTCTGCTTTTATAGTCACCCTGTGAACTGGATTTGTGAATCGGTTAGTCCAAAAATTATCATGACAAAACATGTGGTTTAGGTTTTTTTACTTTTAAATTCTCAGTCTGCTCCCTTTTCCACCTCAGAGGTGTACAGCTGGGACAGGGCTGCAACGTAAGGTAGAAGATCAGGGCAGGCAGCTGGTGAAAGGGGCAGGCTAAGAAGGAGTATATCCTAGGGCCTTGGTTGTACATAAGCTGTTGGTGAAAGGGATATCTGTGAGGGAGAGAACAAGAACTTCTATAACCTGGTCTACCACACCTCCGAAGACTTGTAACGCAGAACAGTCTTAAGGTTGATGTAACCAAAAAGACACAGCCACTGAAGACGTGCAGAAGCAGGGTAATGCATTTAAAGTTTTGGTCTAGAAAAAAGACCTTCACAGCAGTCGTATGTTGTCTTAATAGAAAACCACAATAAAACAGATCAATCCTTTTTATATCGCTGGTTATTATATTATTTTGAGTGGAAGAGTAATTTTTATTTGTGACCGACTTGTTACCGATGGATTTATCATCCATCTCTATTAATGTAATAATCAAAACTCACATCACATGATGAGAAATGAGCTTCCCAATGAACATGACTGATTTCTAGCATAACCCTCCCCACCTCGCCCCCCCCC